AAGGACATTCATTTTTTGTCGTTACCTTGACCCATAGTTGACAAAGAAGAAAAAAAAGAAGTCAAGAAAATTAGATTAAATATATGTTAGTTAATATTGTTGAATATTTTATTTCTACAACTAGCATTTAATATGTTGCAAATGAATATAGAAGATTTAATACAAGATAAGAACATTTAAACAGTCTATTGATAAAGTACATCGATTTATAACGCTACTGTTGCTTTCCCTTTATCTTGTGTATGATAGTTGATGGTCCGCAAACATCATTTTATCTCTTTGATGTCAGTTGATTATCGATCATATTACATATTGCCCTTTTTTTTTTATATTGAATCATAATATCTTTGAATAAAAATCTACAAGTATGTAAAAGAAAAAAAGAGATTATCGTGTAAAATATAATATTTTACATTTCATTTCTAAGACAATCAAAAACAGAAAAAAAAATTTATTTGTATAGTTTGTTATTCCATTAATAGTACTTCATATAATGTTGAATATATCAAATGAGCTGTTCTTAAAATAATATTACGTCTCATGTAATATATTCATTATATATGTTTATTCTTATGAAACTTTTTTTCTCTTAAATTAAATTTTTACTCTAATATACACTCGATTCGTGTTAAAGTTGAACTATTTTATTTTATCTCTTAAACTATTCGATTAGCTAAATATCATTAGAAATGTGTTTCTTCTCTTTTGTTTTTATCTTTTGTATATCTTGGAATTCTGATAAAATCGATTGGATTGTGTAACTCAAATATACACATATACATACGATAATAACATCGACAATTGATCAAACCATTAATGTACAGTTCGATGATCAAAGTAGATTCTCATTTCGAACAAGTATTAAGCAATAACAATAATAGCATTTCTTTTTCTTCTTTCTTTTTTTTTTGTCCTATATTTTCAAGTACTCAAAACTACAGCACTTTCAATCCATTCATTCACTTTATAAGTCTACTTATCGTAATCGCTCATCTTTTAAAATTCATTGTTTTACTCACGTACATTCTATCGTAGTTCTCGTTTTCAAATTAGATTTTTTTGTATACTTCTACACATATATATATATATATCAATATGCACAAGAAACCAATATAATGATACAATAAATGTGAAAACAGTCAGCATATTAAGTTCTTGATTGCATTTTGACGCTGTCATCAGCTAATTTGTGTGCACTATCAGATATAATTTTACTGAAAGACATTTTTCTGTACATATCATCATCACTTGTGTTTCGGCCGTCATATTTGATGACTTACTTTTGAACATATATATATATATATATATATATATAAAAGAGAAAAAGACTAAATTCAACCGAAACACATCGATGATGCAATAATCGAGCCATGATTACAATGACCCACTATAAAAATTAATCAATTGGGGATTTCTTTTTTCTCATGTGTGTGCATACATATGCCGATTGACAATCGATGACAAGAGAACAACGGAAGTAACCTTGCCATTAAAAAATAATTGAAAAAAAAGACATCATATTTGCCGTAAAAAAAATGACAACTTTTGTTATCCATATAATGATCATTACCTATTGTCATTATACAACATGATTTTGAACGTCTGTTATGTTCTATATAATTTGTATTTTGTTTGATTTTTTACAGATGTGCGTGATTGAACACATACATCATGTCCGATTTAACATAACACATACGTTCACATACTTGTCAATAGAGGCCACCTAAAATTAGACCAGTGACATATTTTAATGTCGTTCTTTCTTCGCATTTCCTCTTTTTTTTTTATACATCCCACATCAATAACGATAAGCAAATGAGAAGAAACGGAAGGAGAAAATATTTTAATGAGTGAACATTGAAAAATCAGAAGCAGAAAGAAAGAAAGAAAAAAAGATATATGTATATAGGCAATCACTCAACGATAAATGTGATCATCGAACCGATGTCGGCATCAAATCAATTGATCATAGTGTTCACTTACTATGTTCTTTATTCACCTGTCTGATGATCATTCTATCATCATCGATTCCATATTCGCACCTATTCAAGGCGACGACATATCTTTTAAAAAATTATTAGTATTATTTTTTATAGGTCTGTTTTTTTTTCATTTAAGAAAGGCAACGAAGCATATAAGTGCTTGTCATATATATGCATATGCAAAGTCATGTATCATGAATATAATATACATATATATATATATATATATATATATCGCAAGAATTAATTTTCAAGTCGGTCTTCTATCAAGTTGAAGACAACAAAAAGAAGGTCAGATATAACACATTCAATACGTAACTACATAATTTTTTGATTGAAGAAAAAAAAAGTGTTTGTTCGGTTTTTTTTTAGTTTTATTCGAATTTTCAAAAAAAAAGAAAAGACGAATAGTGCAAGAAGTTGCTCTCTTTTGAAGTTTATTTATTTGTTCTGCGTCATAAAAAGGAAAAACTTGTATATGTCATGGGTCGTTTAGTATGGAGTTTGACTGTCTTTCTCTTTTTTTTTCTTTTTCTTTTTTTGTTCTTCGTCTAATTCCATAGAATACAAACCTTGAAAGTGTGCGAATGAAAGACGATAAAAACTATGTGGTTGTGTGCGCTCTGTTTTTTTCCTTCTCGCTTACATTCTATTTTGTTGACGACGACACAACACACATATGCTCGACATAATCATAGTTGATTTTTTTTCTTGTATCCTATGTTTATCTCGAGACATTGATCAAGGAAAAAAAAGCGAGAGAGAAGAGAGAGAAGAACAAGATTTTTATTTTATTCAATGGCGGACGTATTCGAACCTCTATATGGACTTTTATATCGAATATACCATACATATACATATACACGTGACAAAACTATCTACAGGTGTTTCGTTACTTCTTTCTTTTTTCCATTTCTCTTCTATTTCTTCAATTCTACACATGATGGTTGATGCCTTTGAGAGAACGTGAGTTGAAATGCACAGTTGATTTTAACTTTTGATCACAGTTGGCACATGTATGCCATCACAATCTTTTGCTTACTTACTTTAATAATATTACTACATTATAACCAACAGGGGAGATAAACACGTTCACTCACACTCTCGATTGACAAATAAAGGAACAAAAATTTTTACGTAACACTTTTTTATAAGTGTATGTACTATAAATATATTATTCATGCACGTAGTAACCTTGATGTTATTCGTGCCATTTCTATTCTTTCTTGTATGTTACTATTGAAAGAATTAGTATTTGTATAATTATAATAAAACTGAATGTATACATCATATATTCTATTTTTAGTTCGTTATATTATTTGAACAGATGATTCTTTTTTGTTTTTCTTTTTTGTTTGAAAATTTTTTATTAAGTACGTAAGAAACTAGTCAGATCTATATTAAAGAATGATAATAAGACGCTTTTGAATTTCTTTAGTTTCTTTTTTTTTTGTTTTTGTATCGAACATTTATTGTGAGATGTATAAAAGTAGTTATTTGAGCGGAAAGATTAAATCGTCACATTTCAACTGCGAAAGACAGAGACTTCTTGCCATTATCATCATCATTGTATTGCCGACTACTAGTTGAAATCACATATTGTTTATTATGTTCCGTTATACAGATTTCTTTTTTTTCTTGTCGACTACTATACTCATTATTTTTCTATAAAGTGGTACCGAGAGAACAATACACGTACACGCATATATACACAATTGTCTACTCCCTTATGTTTGATATACATTGAAGAGAGAGAGAGAGATGCGATGCCATGCATTATTCTTTCTGTCACTCCCTTTTTTTAGCTTGTGGCTGAACAGCACAAGCACTTCGCATTTAGCTGAATCAATAAACTGATGGCGAGTTCATTGGATGTTTTCTCTGTGTCTCTTTTCTTCCTCTCTGTCCACTTGTGTCGTTCATAAATTAGAGTTCTTGTTTTTTTTTAAAGCCGTTGTTCAACGAACTAACTTTTGCTCGATTAATTATTCCAAAAGGCTACTAGCGCTCTTTCGCTTACAAATATATGTATATATTAGGGTGAGTGACATAGCGGCGAGACAATTTTCCGGTTCATTAGTCGTTGTTCTCCATGAAATCTGAATCAAATGTATCCATTCATCGCTATACACGCACTCGTACACACACATATACACACACACACACACACACACACACACACAGTATACGCACAAATTATTTGTCCATTACACTGTTGCTTCTTCTCTGTTCTGGTTACGCAATCAAACAGAAGAAACCATCTTCTCTGCATACGTTCTTTTCTTTCAGACGTGCATATCTTTCTTTTCTTTCATCAACAATACACGTATTCATACATCCATTCTTCTGCCTCTTCCAGCAAAAAATTAAAAAAAGAAAAGAAAAGATTTCATATGTATCGATGATAACGATGATGATCTATATGTTTTACACCTTACTGCTACTGGAGAAGTTCAACAATGAAATGTACACGTCGATGCCGGCAATAGGTGAGATAGAAGCGGGGAGGGGAAAATGAGAGAGAGAGAGAGACAGAGAGAGAGCGAGAGAGAGAGAGACAGGGAGAGAGCGAGAGAGTAGAGAATAAAACGGACTTGACATTTGTTTAATCAAATAACAACTGCATTTTGACACCATTCGATTAGAATATGAAAAATAAATAGATGTAAAAGGCAAGAGAAATAGTCAGGTATAGTGTACGAGACAATTGTCAGTGTGAACCTCAATGGGCGGAAACGGATTAGATACCTATTGTTTCATTTATGTAGATATATTTTGACACGCGAACATCATTAACCGTAAAATATAGGTTAGACAAGACTATCAATTTAAAATACCCATAATAACTTTATCAACTGGCTAGAAAAAAAAATTACTAATATAAAAACAACTTTATTCAATTTCGTTTTTCTATTTATCTTTCTTCTTTCTAGAATGAATGATGACCATTTCTATATTAATTTTCGACTTTTTACCACCTTAATAATAATATTATCCATATCATCGATAGTATCACCAATGTCAATACTTCGTCCTATATATCCATGTTATTATAAAGATTTAAATCAACGTATATATAAATGTGACATGTGTCAATGTATATTGTCACCTCCACTTTTTTCAACTTCAAATCTTTGTTCTTCATTATCAAAATCATCTTCATTAATTTGTTCGGATAATTTAACTAAAATTCATAATGAAGAACTATTACGTTTAAGACTTGATGAAGTTGAATCTGAAACTGATCATCAATTACAAACACACTATTCTATTATACGAAAACAATCCTTTAATGATATTCAATTTGAATTTGATAATTTTAATAATGATGTATTTAAAAATTTATTTGATTTCGAACAAATATGTTCATATATAAATAATTCACGTTTAACATTTTATCGTTTACAATCAAATAAATTATTTAATGAGTTAAATACATGTCAATTAACAATATTATCATTACGTTTTCTTGATACAGTAATAGAAAATAATTTTTTATTACAAACAACAAATCCAATAGGATTAACTTTTTATAACTGTACATTTAATATTGAACAATTAAGTTTAACAACAATAACAACAACATTATCATTTTATTATGTCAAATTTCATTTAAAACCATTTCTAATAAATTCTTTAACTTCACTTATACATTTAACAATAACATATACAACACATTTTGATATAATTGGTTCATATCCAAATTTAATTTACCTTGATCTATGTCATACACAACTAAATGATATACAATTAAATAAATTATTTTCACAAATTGATATGCCAGATTTAACAACATTAATATTATCAAATAATAATATTAAAGCATTAAAAACAAAATTTCCATCAAGAATACGTTATTTAGATTTATCAAATAATTATATTAAATCATTAGATTATACATCATTTAAATCTTTATATTCATTAAATATATTAAATTTAAGTTATAATTCACCATTAGATATTCAACAAGATACATTTACACGTATACCATATTTAGAAATACTTGATTTAACATCATCTTTACCATCATTACCAATCGATGATCTATTTTTACCATTACAAAAACTTCGTTATTTAAATCTTTCATCAAATAATTTAAATTATTTCCCACGTCTTCCTATACCTCATGATGCACATACTATAGCTAGTTATGATCATCATTTACCTGTTTTAAATATTGATTTATCAAATAATAATTTAAATAAAATTGATTTTGATATACTTTCATCGGCATCAACTCAAGATAAATATATTATATCAATTGACATGACTAATAATCAATTAAAAACATTACAATTACCATCTAGTTTATCAACAGGTATTAAAAGACGTGGACCATTAATTGAATTAAATATTAATAATAATCCCTTAGAATGTAATTGTATTTTATATGAAAATATTTTTCAATTATTACAAACTGATATATCAACTCAACAAGATAATTCTTTTATTTGTAAGTACATATTATTCAAATAAATAACACACAAAAAATAAAATCAATAAATTGAGTAGTTTCTAATGATTTACACAGATGTTCTGTTTTTTTTTTGCAATAATTATTTTTGTTGATAGTAGTTTTAACGAAAAACAAATGTTTTTTTTCTGAAAAGTTTATGACATTTTAAATAAGTTTCTACTGTTCTAATTTACTCGCTAGCATATCAATGACAACATGCTATGAATATAAATTGCATGATTAACGTTGTCGGAAATGATTAAATTTTCCCGTCCGTTTTCCTCTATTAATGATCTCATTTAATGCAAACATATGAAGCAAATTGATTTATTTATCATATGTATCATATATTATTTTATTTATCATGAGGACTTAGAGCAAAAAAAAATATTTATAAAAACTAAGACACGGAACGAGAAGGTGTAGACCTAAACGAACACTTTCTCTATAATTTTATTAAAAGAAAAATCTATGTGAGAATATATTTATATTATATGAAAAAGAACATACTTTAGACAAAGACATCTTGTCGAAAAAAAAATATGATATATAATTAAATCTCTATGCATTGTCACTCATGATAATATTTGTATGTAACACAATAGAGATATGTTGTCAGTATTACATCTTAACACATTTTTTGTTTTAATGTATAACAAAAAAAAAACTGATCAAATAGGGATAGATTACAAGACGTGAATGGGTTTCGTGTATGATTTAATACTTTTTTTTTATATAAATTTCTTTTAAGAACAATAGATGTAATTTCTATTAGATAAAATCAGTAATGTTCGAAGGATTATTACGATAAGAATTTTTGTTGAACGCATCTGCATGAATAATTCTATTGATTTATAAGTGAGAAAGCTAGTTACATGCTTATTTGTAGTATCACGCTATCTATATGTAATGCAAAATAATTTCCGATTCAATGCTTCCAGTTGTTCCTTTGTAGTATTAGATAAGATTGAATAAATATTCAGAGTAGATTGTTGATAATATGAACAAATATATGTTTAATATAATCTATAGAAATTTTCATTGAATAATATACGACTGTATGGATAATCATTTAAAATTCTGTAATGTTTTTTTAATGAATTTTGACCTTGATATAGTCAAGAGGATTTTGTTTATCATATATAAATATTCATTTATATTAATAGATTACTAATAAGATTTATATTTATTATTTAATATGCCTATAAAGTCACACATTTTAGAAATTCAATTTTATTCAAATTTGCTAGGAAACACTATCTACTATATATTTTTTAAACTGATGTATACTGTTTTGTTACATGATCTGCTATCTTTCTTTTTTTTGTCATTCGATGTTCATATTCAAGTAAATTTTAGAAAAAGGGCAATACAAAATTTGAGTAATTTAAAGATTAATATAACGCAAAGTATAAAAGTCATTTAAACAGAAACATCATGCAATATATTTTAATCAACTAGAACAAGATTGAATCATAATATACGAAATAGAAGAACAAAATTTAAATGATAGTTATCGAACTTGTCCATAAAATATGACTATAATACTTACCAGATGAATAGATCTGTGTCAGTTCACAATCGAGGAATTTGCAACTAGTTCTGCTCAAAAGAACTCAACTGTTCAAACAGATCAGTTCTACACGTGTGATAGGTCCCACTTCTATGAGTCTGTTCTATTTTGAGAACTGGACACAGTGATCAGTTCTTTTTTTTTGACAACTGAAGCAGTTATTGAATAGAATTGTCACATGACCATTATTAGTAGACATAATTCATATAAAAAGAACTGATTCATAAAACTGAGAGCTGTCACGGGCTTACAGATAAATAAATTCGTTTTTATTCATATTCAATATCTATGAAATTATTCCAGTAGAATGATTTTTAGATCGATGTTGTACTTAAGAGAGCGACTTTTTTTTTTAATACAATTCTCTTTTCATATAGTAAATCCTCCATTTCAACCATTACCATCTCAACAATATCCGTCAGGATTTTATCCAAATCAATATTTGCCAACTAATATTCTTCCTCAACCATTACCACCAGCACCTCCTCCTTTTTATCCTCAATCAACAAATCTAATAAATTATATTCGAACACGTCGTCAATTAAATCTTCCAAATCATCCATCAGCAATGTCATTACTTGCAGAAAATCTAGCCAAACAAGCTCGTGTTAAATTATTACATCTATCTAACCTAACATGTCAAGATATAATTGAACCAAAAATAAGTCGATCCTTATTTGATCTTAATTCATCAAATAGTTTTTGTTCATACACAATATATTGTCCATCGACATGTTCATGTTGTTCATCATCATCGCCATCATTATATAATAATAATAATAATAATTGTGATTGTTATTATCAATGTCCATTAGAATGTTCCTGTAAACATTCATTTGATTTAACAAAAAATTATGTTAATTGTTCAAATCTTTATTTAAATAAAATTCCATTAAATATTCCTTCCACAACAACACATCTGCATTTAAATAATAATCAAATAAAAATTCTTGAAAAAAATTTAACACATTTAACAAAATTACAATATCTTACATTAGCAAATAATCAATTAGAATATTTATTAAATGATGATTTTTTAACATTAACTAAAATTGAAGATTTAGATTTATCATCAAATCAAATACAAAATATTGGATCAAGAACATTTTCAACATTGTTTAATCTTAGACATCTTTATTTACATAATAATCCATGGATACCAAAATTTTATAGTGGACATGGAGAATTTCAATCAAACATAAGGTTAAATTCTTTAACATATGGAAATGGTCTTTCATGTAATCGATCGATTATATCTTCTTTTACAATTGAAACTCCACTTACAGCAGACGATTGTTGTAAAAATTCAAATATTGAATCATGTCAACAATTAATTCATATAAATGAACATAATTATGAATCTGATCAAGAACATTTATCATTTCATACTGATCAAAATTTATTTAATTCAAAGCGAATTTTTAAAGTTTTGTTTCATGAAAATTATCGTCTTTATGTTATTATTGGATTAAGTTTATTTATACTTCTAATAATAATATTTATTATTATATTATGTTGTATATGTCGACGAAAAAAACATCAAAAACATTCTTCATCAGCTGAAAGTAAATTATTAACAAATGGAGATGTAAATAAAACAATAAATCACTATCATAAATCATTACAACAAACATCATCAACACCAGCACAAATATCATTATCATCATCAACTACTGCTATACAAAAATTAATTAATTCAACAAGACAAAAAAGTATTAATAGAATGAAATAACGAGTGATTAGAAAGGTTTTAGATTGATCTGCTAGAAAGTATTTCTGACGAGTCAAATGCTATGAGTTAGGATGCTCTTTTCGAAGATCGACTTACAAATTTTGTGTCTTTCTATTGTTCCAGAGTAATTAGAAACCTTTTGAAAGACCTAAAAATAGTGAGCCAACAAATTTTTGTTCACCCCATAAAGTCCTTTTCGAACATATGAAAAATTGTCGGAATCGGTCGTTTTGTACAACAGACAGTTCTCTACAAAATGTAATATTGAACTAATGAGAGAATTGTGTCAATCTTGATGTCACCTCCTACTGATCTTCCTTTCCACTTTCCTTTTTATCTTGTTTTTATTCTTCTTTTTTGTGTTCATCTGTGTCTTGCTCTTGTTCTCTCCTATATAAGCGCATGTTGCATGTGAAGTAGCTCAATAAATATCATTAGCGAGGGGGATAGCAAACTATCCCCTCTGATTTGTCGTTCCAGAAATCTCTTCAGTTATCCCATTTCGCTTTCTATGATTTTTTGCCTATAGATACTACGTAGGGCTTAATAAAAAACCTAACAGAATTTGGATTCCTATTGATATTTGACTAAGCTATCGAATTTTTAATATATCTATTTTCTAGAAGTCCTAGATTTTTGAATAAATTGTATTATCAAATTTTGATTTGAAACTTTGTGTATATAGAGAACTCAAATAGACTAGCTACCAAAGGGAAATTCAGAAGTTTTAAACAATGTCTCTTCGATATATAAGACTTTCAAGATATAGGTCTTGTTTCATGGATAATGTACACAACATGCCTTTCTTTTTTGAAAGCTTCATGTTTCAAAGAGGCTTTGTTTAAAACTTCGAAATTCTTTTATAGAAGTTAGTCTGGTTAAGTTCTCTATATACAAAACCTTCAGATCAAAATTCGAAAATACTAGTTTTCCAATAACATAGGACTTCTAGAAAATACACATATTCAAAATTCGATAGCTTCGTCAAATATCAATAAGAACGCAAATCTTTTTAGATTTTTTTGATTAAAAACTATGCAGTATCTCTAGGCCATAAAAATCATTGAAATTGAAGTGGGACAGCTAAAGAGGTTGTCTCGTAATCTATAGCTTTTACTTAAGTGAGACTACGAGCATTTTTCAAGAGACCCTTTCAACGTCAAACGGTTATCGATTTTTCAATAATGAGTGTATAAGAAAAACGAAAATTGAGGTATCTTGTCAAAAGAAAAAAGAACTTCAAATGGTGCATTTTGTTGGGTACCCCCATGTCTACGAGCTGTTACATAAATAAAGATCGCAAATTTTAGTTTTCAATCACAATTGTAAAAAATACAAAACTTTCCGTCCAAACTAATTTTTTGGACTATTCCAAGATTAGATCACTACTCTCGAATAAGAACTGAGATAAAATTTCTAAGCACATATTCGAAAAAAGCATCCTAATTCATAGTATTTGACTCGTCGGAAATACTTTCTATCGAGTCAAAAGTGAATAAACGTCTTGTCTTAAAAAAAAATTTCCAATCACTCGTTACAAGGATAATAAGCTGAAATATTGAAAAATTTCCATTTTATTTAGGTTTAAATTCTAATACAGCATATAGACAACAAGAAAACGATGGTTCAATTTCATATTCTGATAATGATGATGAAGATGATTATGCTTCCATACCATTAACAGTTTCTCAAACTGATTTATCACCAGTCATTCGTTCTCAACCACCTGTTCCTCCACTTCCACCTCCTCGTCAAATGCAACAACAACATCAACAACAACGTATTGTATCGAATCGTCCTATATCTCATTCATCTACAGTATCAACATCGACAACAATTCGATCAATTGTTCCAATGATAAAACGTTCAAATTCTTCGGCTTCTAAACAGGCTCAATCATCATTAACAGCAGCACGTTCATGTTTACAAATAAAACTTGATGCACTTGTACTTTATTCAATAAATGATAGTGAGTTAGTACATGGAGATATTGGTGAAATACTTGAAAATATGTATGGCAAACGTTTTAGTTTTTATTTTATACATCGTGATCGTATGTTAGGTGAACTTGACTGGTTAATTGAAAATTCTTGTGTTACAATTATTATTTTACGTAAACCATATCATATTGTACATGATTATATGAAAATTTTGTCAACATGTTCATCAATTAAAATATTTTTAATACTTGTTAATGATGAAAATAATAAATATGTATCATCATCATCATCATCATTAAAAGCACGTGAAAAAATTGCAAAATTATATCGAACATCAAATGTATATGAATGGAATTCAGATCCAACGGCAATTATACATGAACAACTTGAATTATTTCTCGAACAAAATTGTGGTTCAGCTACTTATGTGCCGGATTAACCTTATTTTCGCGATCTCAGGTTGATCTTTTTCTATATGTATAGATATTATTTTTACGACTCATTAATTTTCTTACCGTCTTCTTGTTATTTACTAACCCGGTGGTGTTATTACTCTTTTTGTCGTACACCTCTTCCTATTTGTGTATCAGCGTGCGTGTTTTGGTTTTTTTTTTGAAATACATTTATGTGAATGATAATCGATAGAACATAAAAGATTATTGAAAGAATTAACTGATTTATGTATCGATTTTGTGATGTTCGAGGATCTTTCGTTCAATTATGAAGTATGTCGTATCTTTGAATAAAATATGATAGATTAATAAAGGTTTCATCATTAAAAAATCTTATCATACGATGCAACAGTAGTGGCATAAAATGTCAGTCCCTGTCTTTTCTCATAGATGCGGCTGTAGAAAGAAGATTTTTTTTTCCCCATTCGATAGAAAGTTTCCCTCTCATTCGATCTGTATATTGCTTGTTTTTATCAGACACTTATAAGTAAAGCGGCAAGGGAAGAAAGACTGACACGTTAAAAAAAAAATACCGCACTTTTCATATATTTTGAACTAACAATAAAAAATATTGATTCCTATATCTCATCTTTGAATATGTGTCTGAATGATAATTTTTTTATCAGTTGATAGGAAATTTTTCGGTCTTCCGAACTGTATATAATTGATTTTCGTCGTACATTTATCAACAAAATGACAGGTGAAAAAGAGAAGCACTAGCTCAACGAATTTGCAATTTTTATATTGAGTCATCAAATAAATCTTGTAAAACAACAGTTAAATATTTTGCCAAAGAAGGTTTTCCGAGACGAACGATTTATAATATATTGAATAAATATTTAAAATATGAACAAACAAAATTTTTACCAAGAAGTGGCCTTCCATGAAAACTTTCTAATCAAAAATTAAATCAACTAATGAAGTCTACTAATAATCGTTGTGGCATCAATCAACGTAAATTAACTAAATGCTTTAATGTTCATCAATCAACTATTACCCGTAATTTACGTTGAAGAACATCAGTGATTATCAGAAAACGTAGAAAAGTTCAAAAAATGGATAATATAATGCAAGAAAAAAGATCGAAAAGAAATTGTGACAGGTTATACAAAATGATTCCTAGTAATTGTGATCTTATATTAGATGATGAAAAATGCTTTACATGAACTAATGCAAGTGTTGCAGGTGATCGATATTATTATTCAATCGATCCAAGTACAGCTCCTGTTCATATTAAGTTCAAGCAGAAGAAGAGATTTGAACCGAAACTTATGGTATGGGCTATGTCATCCAAAAGAAGTTTTGGATGTATGTATTCATGAAAGTAAGCAATCAGTTCGTCTAAGTGTATATTTAAATAAATGCATTGTAAAAAGATTGATTTCATTCGCCGGAAAATATTATCAAAATGAAAATTTTATATTTTGGCCTGATCTCGCAAAAGCACATTACTCCAAAATTGTACAAGAGCGATTAACACAAGAAAAAGTACCTTTTGTATGTTATCAAGATAACCTACCAAATGTACCACAAGCACGACCGATTGAAACATTTTAGACTCTTTTGGCATAGAAAGTATATGACAACAATTGAAAAGCTAAAAATTTAGATGCATTAACTTGTAGGGTCACACAAAAGATCGAACAACTTGATAAAACTACGTTACAGACTACGATTCAAGATATTCGAAAAAAACTTCGGTGCATATGGCGTGATAGACTCTATTCAGTTTGTTAAATAAAAGTTTTTTATTCTAGGTGTTTTTTATAATAAAAAATGGAGTTTTCCATTTCTTTCGATCATAGATAACAGTTTCTAATCGATCTGCAACGGTATCGATTTCATAAGTAGTTAGTTTACAAGATTTATTTGATGACTCAATATAAAAATTGCAAATTCGTTGAGCTAGTGCTTCTCTTTTTCACCTGTCATTTTGTTGACAAATGTTCGACGAAAATAAATTATATACAGTTCAGAAGACCGAAAAATTTCCTATCAACTGATAAAAAAATTATCATTCTGACACATATTCAAAGATGAGACATAGGAATCAATATTTTTTATTGTTAGTTCAAAATATATGAAAAGTGCGGTATTTTTTTTTTAACGTCTCAGTCTTTCTTCTCTTGCCGCTTTGCTAATAAGTGTCTGATAAAAACAAGTAATATACAGATCGAATGAGAGGGAAGCTTTCTATCGAATGGGAAAAAAAAATCTTCTTTCTACAGCCGCATCTATGAGAAAAGACAGGGACTAACATTTTACGCCACTACTGTTGCATCGTATGATATCTAGATAAAATAGTTCATATGGATTAAGAAATATAGATCTGTTGGAATTAGTACTTCATTGCTTAAACTTAAAATGGTTTTTTATCTGATTAAAATTCAATAAAAAAAATTATTTAGGTAAATAATGACTGAGAAACTTATCTAATATACAGTGTATAGTACACACAAAATTCATGAAGGAACCTCTCCAACTGTTAAATCGCTTGTCGACCGAGGTGATGTTCATTTGATGTGTAGTAGTGAATAATAGAAGAGTCTAGAATGGTTTGGTTCTGCGAGTCTTTGTTCTTCAGATATCGACATTTTACTGGATTTTCTAAAAAAAAGCTATGGTTCTCCTCAGGTCACATGGAAAATCAACTCTCAAGTTTCGACTTGAAAGTTGATTTTCCATGTGACTTGAGGGAGATCACGGCTTTTTGTTTAAAAATCCAGTGAAATTTCAATATCTCTAGAACGAGGACTTAGAACAAAACATTCTAAACTTTTATATTACTCACAAATACACATCGAATGAACATCATTTCGGTAGAAAAGTGGTTTGACACCTGGACAAGTATCTTCATCAATTCAAATTTAGAATGTAAGAACTATCTTTTGAATGAAATAAATTGATAGTTCTATTTTTCGATATTCTTAAAATCAGAAAGTTTTCCCCCTTAGCCAATAGAACAAGAAGTCAGGTTGAATTAATATATGAAAATAAAATCTTCTGAAACTTTTATAAGTAACATAAATTGTACTTCTCACAAAACTTGAAGTCTAATCGAAACATATCCTTTTATTAAGGCAATCCCCTCAAAAAAAAATTGTTTGTCGCGCATCCACCTTTGATGAAATTTCCAATGGAGGTGTATTTCGAGCTGGGTACCTCATAGTACAAATTTCAGTTCGATACATTGAGTCTACGAAGAGTTAGCTTAAGATTATGGACCAAAATTTAAGTTTCGGTGGATTCCCAATTTGTCATTCATTTCGAATGCTAGAAAGATCGGGTTGATTTTAAAAGGTAGCCAACATGTTGCGTGACAACTTAACAGCGTCCGATTTCTCGATTTTCTCCTAGTTTGTGTTTTTAGAAAACATCTCTGATAAAATACGGAAAATCCAAGGAGCGTAGGTCCAGAATGGTCACTGTTTAGTAAACATAAATGGGGAAATTAGAAAATTGGGCCCTGTTAAATTGTAGAGCTAATTTTTATCTTCATTTTGGCACCAAGCCCAACTTTTCAGCATTTAAAATGACCAAGAAATCTGGAATGCAAAGAATCATCAAAATCAAAAATCCTATTGCGAGAAAAACACAAAAGTTTCAACACGGAAAATCAAGGTTTTTTCCTTCATAAACTGATATGGAAAGAATCTTCGAGTAATTTACTATAGATCAATAATTAGAACAAATCAAATGAACGCATGTAAAGGTGTACAAGAGAAATTTTTTTCATTTTCATAAGGATATATTACGTTCGCGAAGGTCTCAACAAAAATCATCTGTTTAAAAAAAAAACTATAAATTTGTCTAAATCGGTATACATCATGTAGATTCATTATTTATAAATTATCTAAAACACTTCCAAACATGTTATACTCATTATGATCGAGAATGTGATAAAGAAAAGTCTATTAAAAACAAAACAGTAAACAATGATTCATAATCTATTTCATATTGGTGGAATAATAGTGAAAAATCTTTGGATATCTATTCTGCTAACGTAGACGCGGTTATGAATCAATGTTTCTTACTTTCATTTCATTCTGTGGTTTTTCATGTTCGAGTGTTGTATTCACTTATCATGCTTAGCGATGCATAGTAGCCATGCCTGTCACTACCAAAAGTCAACAGAGAAGCTTAAAAAACTTTAAAAATCATAAGTTTTTAGAAAAAACTTTTTTTTTTTTGCTCCTATGTGAGGGTACAGAAAAATCTATGTAATATCCTTAAGTTTGATCATAAAATCCATAGTCTATAGTGTATTCGAAAGTAGACACTTTGCTCTATCTCAAGACCTATAAATCATAAACTCAATAAATTTGACCGAAATTGGCTTTGTCTGACGGGAAGCCCTTAACTGATGGAATATATATAAAAAAATTTATTTCTTTAGAAAATATCTAATAACGATGTATTAACTTGAAGAAAACTACCTCGTTTTTAGTTCTATGATCATGTATGTATGTTTTATAGACACAAAATATTGCTCTAAAGACAAACAAAACTTAGTAAACACTTGAACATAATGATAGACTCAATTAGAAATTTCTCTTGAATTTTTTTTGACTTATTTCTTTTTTCTTCATTCTTCTTTATTCAATACATGTATATGTATGACTTAATTCTTTCGTTACTAAACAGCAAATACAAACGACAATAGAAATGGTATGTCGGTTCGTCTCAAAAAAAAAAAATCCCATACGTTCGTTTCTTTTTCTTCCATCTTCATGTCTCTATTATATTCGTTAGTTATTTTTTTCATTCATTTCGAAACAAATATAATAAAAAGAAAAAAAGGAAAACGATGAATGAAATTCGTCAATTGTGTACTACATCATCATCACCTGTTAAACACCTTGATGAAATTCTTGCACTTTTCCATGCATGTCCACCACAATATCTTCTTCCATCACTTTCACTTATTGGTCAATCGATATCATGTATGTCTGTCGAACAATTAGATATACATATTATTAATCATCAACTATTTTTTATTATTCGACAATGGTCTGAACGTTTACTACAATTATGGTTAATTAATGGTACATTGAATGGTGATGAACATCGAGCTTTATTTTATACTCATCAGCTATTTAAACTTTTATCAGAATGGTTAAATCAACAGGATAATTTAATTATTGATAATGATAATCAAGAAATAACAAAACGTGTTATAACAGATTTATTTATTGATGAAAATTTTATTAACACATTATGTCGATCTATTTCTCAATTAATAACAGATGAAAATGATGATCAACATAGTTCAGCAACAAGTAATATATCGGTAAATATAATTTCTATTCTCAATAAAATAACCTTGTTCATTTTTATCTAGGTTATGTGAATAGAAGAAAAAAAATGAATGTTTTTTTACGGTTTCGAAAGATAAATATATTGACTATTTCTTTGTTCTAGTCATTGATAATTTAAAAACATATATTCATTTTGAATGTTTCGGATGGAATAAAACCTAAAGAACGAAAAAGAAAAGATGTGATAAACTTTATTAATATAATTCTTTCCATTACATTAAAAATAAAGGCAAAAAAGTACAGCAATTTTGAGGTGTCAATCAATCAAATTTAAGTACATTCTTTGTTTATTGAAGGCAATGATAAAAACGAATGGTTTTTTTTTGTGGTGAAAATTAGTTTTTTTTTAATAAAAAGTACGTAGTCAAGTCAACAAATATCATACCTTTCAAATTTAATGAAAAAAAGACTTTCTAATTCGAATACTCATCAGTGTTTGATTATGATGAATGAATAAATCTTATTTCAATAAGATTTTTTTATTTGTATATTATATATTCAAATGACATTCTCTTAATATATCTAAATTGTTTTTTTTCTTTTGTTCTCTAAAGGATGATGAAGATCATGTGTCACCAGACGATATTCAACTTCAAACTCATACATCAGATGATCAAGCTGAACAAGCTGATGTTCTTGATGTTTTATTTCGATGTGTTAATTCTTTAATTATTCTATTTAGTCATCCAATTTTATTAAGTAATATAATAGCAACTAAAAATATAACGTCATGTCTTCTTGATTGTCTTAATTCACCTTTATTTATTCAACTTTCAACAAAATTTTTACGACAAAATTTAACAAGTGAAAAAATTCATATTCGTTCAATATTTCTTTTATTTACATGTCTTGATTATTGTACATTATCAATAACAATATCAACATTAGATTTATTATCATCAATACGTAAAATTCTTCATATTTGGTGTGAAATACCACAAAATTCTAATGATGATACATCACCATTAATTGTACGTCTTATTCGTCTTATTTATCGTTTATCATTATCAAGTAAAGATTCAATTATACGTGAAAATCTTTGTGCTTTTCTTGTACCACATTTTGAAACATTATGTTCAACATCAAATATAATTGATGATATTGTTTCATTACTTGTTACACTTTCAACAACAATAACAGGCAAACGACATTTACGTCGTTTAGGTTATGTACAACATATTTTACATGCAACAAAACGTCATAGCAGTCTTTGGCATCCATTATCATTATTAATAAATCAACGTGATTTGTTTCAATCATCATTATTTAAAAGACTTGTACATCTATTAATTCAACGAACAATAAATATGTTTCAATCATTAGCAACAGCATCAAATGATACATCATATGATTCCACAACACCATCATCAAGAAATCATGCTACTATGGTTGCTATTGAATGGTTTATTTTATTACGTACAAGTTTTTTATCATTTACAATGATTGTTGAGGAATTTATTAATTATAGAAAAAAAGTTAATGTTATTAATATGTTAATTGATACAATTTTATCTTTACAACAAGATGATGAAAGTTTACCTAAATTAATTGATGTTATGATTGAACTTCTGTGGACATTTTCATTAAGTAAATCAACAAATATTCATGATATTTTACAAAAACATTTTGATCTATGTCAATATTTAAAAAATAATTTAAATAATTCTACATCAAATGTACGTTTTGCTTCGAAAGCTGTTCTTTCAACTTTAGATTTAACCAATAAAACTATAAGTAATTTATTTTCTTTTTTTTATTTTTATATCGAATATATTTTACAAAATTTTTCATACTTAGATCGTACATCATTTAATCGTCGTACATCAGTTATAACAAATAATTTAATATGTATATTTAATTCTGATAAATCTCATCAAGAATTATGTATAACACTTCGTGATCGTCTTCTAATTGAACAACAATATTCAATTGAACTTATAACAACATCATCATGTGAATCATTTGATTCATTAATTCAACTTATTAATCGTTCATCACTTTGTCTTTTTTGTGCAAGTACTCAAATGAAAACCGATAATTTAACACATTTTGTTCATCGATATATTTCTCTACAATCATATACAATTCCAATATTAACAATTCTTATTGAACATGGATGTGAACTTGAAGGAAGTTGGCTTGAACATTTACCAATGGTTGATATGCAATCAATTGTCAATGAAATTCGACGTCATTTAGATCAAATCGAAGATAATGATCTACGTTTACCAAGTCGAATAAGTGATGCATCAACTATTAGTCACACACGTAATATGACTCCAGATGAAATACGAAATCAATCACGTAACTTTATGAATCGTCCTGTACCATATTGGTCATCAGATGATGTTACTGAATGGTGTGAAGCAACACAAGGTAGTTTTGATACTCTTCAACCATTAGTTATGCGTCTTAATGGTTCAGCTCTTGTAAATCTTGCTGAAATTTTATCAATTGATCCAGCATCAATGTATCATAGTTTAAATGATGAACTTCTTCAACGTACTGGTGCAAGTGTTCCACTTACAGAATATGTTTCATTACGAAGTGAACTTCAACATTTGCTTATTCGAAAACAAGATCAACGTATGACAACAAGTACTACAAATACTGATGATACAAATAAGAGTGATTATCGAAAAAAACGTTGGAAAAAGAGTCGTCTTTGTACCATACTCTAATGATTATATTATATTATATTATATTATATATTTTTTTTTCTCTTTTATTGTGAATGAATTAGTGAATTAATTGACAATCTATGTCAGATATAGGTCAAATAAAATAAAAATGTCAATTATATAAAATAAATAGAATTTAAATTAATTTTTCATATGAATTATTATTATAACATTAATTATGCATATGTACGGTTTATTGTTTGTTGATTAGATAAAATTTATTCTAATTTTGTATGCGGATTGACTCTTTTTTGATGACATAGAAAATATACTTCAATTAACTTTCGTCTTATGTGAATATTTACTTTCCATTGTTTATTTGAAACAAAAGAAATGAACGCATGAGAAGTCATTGTGACAGTAAGGAGGTGGATGTAGATGTAGAAAAGACACACTCTCAGACTCTCATTCACATCATCCATTTATACTCTCTCTTCTTTCAAATAAACAGCGAAAAATAATTCGTTACAGAAAAAAAAATGCTGATTGCAATATTGGGTGTGGCAAAAGTTTTGCGGCATCCTTTGTTTTGCATGTAACTCTGTTGAGAAATATGATAATATGTTGATTGTTCTTTTTTTAAAAGATACGCTATTGAATGTTCTTACTCGGATCACAAGATCCAATCGTGTTGTAGCTACTTTCGACATTTTAATAGATTACTAACACGTGTGCTATCGTGTTATATACTATAAGGGAAAAAATACATTTTTTGATTGACAACTAAGATCACTTTTAATCAAATCAATATTAAATAAAATGGACTGTTCTAGGCACAATAAAAACAAACTAAAATGTTCATCACTCCATCAGTACTTCCGACGAGAGATCACTACTGATTTCTTCTCAACGTATTTTCATCATCTTTAGTTGAAGACAATGTCTCATTGTATTATTTTGTTAAGCTCAATTCTTTTTCTTACTATTTCTTCCCATAGTCGAGGAAGCTTAATCTAGCAATTTGTGAATCGAGCTCACTATTTTTTAGATGATGTAGTCGAGAGCAACACAGAAAAAAAAGCATTTTAATTCAGAGTGAAGCATCCACATCAATTGTGACATAGACATTATTGTTTAATTGTATTTGAAATGAGGATGAATAATAATTCTCATGTTCCTGAAGTCTACACACTAGATCTCTGATTAGTTCGAAACATTATAGACAAAACGAATCAACAATAATTATCAAAACTAAAACTCAATAATATTCCATTTTCTCTTAGCTTTCCTTGTAAGAAATAACACGATGATGCAGATGTTCAGTGTTAACAATCTGTTAAACATTCAATGGTAAGTCTTTTGAAAAAAAATGATCAACATATTAGCATGTTCCTGAACAGAGTTACATGAAAAACAACAAAAAAAAATGATGCAAAAATTTTGCTACACCCAGCGCATATTTTGCATGTAATCAACAAATAATAAATCATGTAAATCTTAATTATGAATATTGATTTATGATTTTAATATTATTTATGTTTAACTCAAATAAATCTTCTCTAGAGATTTGTTAAATCATATTTGTTCAGGATTGTTTCTTATTAAATTCATAATTATATTGCAGAGAAAGACTTCTTTTGTGAGTCATAAAGTACAATGCGATAAAATATAAATTAAAATTTGCACTTTAAGACGATGACATATCTCATGCTAACTAATATCTTCAACTAATAAAAACAATACTTTATATCTTACCGAAATTACATGTCTTGCCTGACAGATATATATGTAAACGTATGTTGGCGATATAAGAAATTTGTATTGTCAAAAACTTTGTAATTTGATAATATTATTGTTTGTATCAATACATCAACCGAATTTCCTTTCAATTCATCTCAAAACACGCGTCATATATATATATATAACTGAAACACTAATAGATGTCTTTCAAAAAAATAAAAATGCTACTTAATGACTTATAATCGTTAATAAAAAGAATGTGAATTTCCATGTCATTGAACATGAATATACAGAATGAGCCATTAATAGTGCTATGATAAAAGATAAAAATATCTCCGCTTCGATTCACTTGAATGAGTTGATTTTATAGTTAGTAGTAGAGGCTGATTTCAAGTTTTTTTCTTCCTTCATACAAATAATGCAAGGAAACACAACTGTCATGTTTTATTTTTGACCTCAGCAAAGAAATTTCACCTATTACTAGGTAAGAAAAATATATATGAAGCATTTCATAGATAATTTTCAGTTATGATCGAAGAGAATAAGAGGTCAAAGAGAACTTTATGAATGATACTGTATTGATGTCAACATAGGTAAGTTTTCAAAATTAGTCAGATTAAATCCAGAAATGTGTGTCTCATAAGTAAAACTCACAGTTGATATCCATTGAACACCAACTTCCTTGCAAAAATCACTGTTCCATGCTTGAAAAAGTCGAAATTTTGTAACCATTGACTTTTAAATTAACTAGTTCTACAACTGAAAATTATCTATGAAATACTTCATATATATTTTTCTTATTTGACAATAGATGAAATTTCTTTCTCGATATCAATAATAATACGTCATAGTATTATTTACTTACACCTATTTGATTGAACCGACGCGAAGATATTTCATTTCTTTTTTATCCCAATACAAATTACGACCCATCCCGTATATTTCAAATCGTAGGATTGATAAGCTTTTATTTCAAAAATATTTTCATGTATATGAATGTCATTAAGTAAGTTTTCCTGTTTATACAAAATTCTAATTATCTTTGTTTTTTTTAATATTTTATTCAAAATAAAATCTTGATTAGTTGTAGTAAAAATAGCAAACGATAATCATCATTTTTTAATTCTAGATGGTTAATCAGTAAAACAGGCTAATGTAGAATTAAATATGCCATTATCAGACTATTCATAATCAGGTAATCAAATGCAGATAATATCCATTTTCAATCTTTTTTCGTCCATATTAATCCATGATAACTATACTATGTAAGTTATTAAGTCATCTGAGTTGAGCATGTATCATTTGACATATATTTCTATAGAATTAATGTTTTGATTCTGTTTATAATTACATGATGAAAAAATATCTTTATTATCTAGTTATAATCATGATTAAATGGTGTCATGAATATACAGGAAACAAAAAAAACAAAACAAAAACAGACGTAGAATGAAGATTAAGAAATGTAATTTGACCATTTTTCTAAGGATATATCCTAAAGATATAATAAACAACAAAAATGAATGGCTTTTATTTCATGATAGACGAACAAAATCAATTGATCTTTTTCATAGTTCCAACTATTTGCCAAACTGTCAATTTTGACAAATATGACTGACACATTCTAACAATTTCTTTTTTCGTTCTCTTTTATAAACATATGCCTCTTTTTTTTCTTTCTAGTTCTATGAAAGGCAATAGAACTAAGTACCTCGTTTTCTTCTTGCGATCTAAGACATTTGCTTTTTTTTACTGCTTATTTTGTGACATTAAGATCCATTTGTTTGTATGACTTTTTCATCTATTCATGCAACACAATAGCCTATTAAAAACGTTGTCAATAGACATTATGTCTAAAACTACAGAATAAAAAATATATTGTTGAGTGATAAGCATTACAAATATACAATAGTAAGAAATATATTAATATAACTAAGAGCAACTATTTATAAATCATTGAATGAAAAACTAGAAAAATAAAAAAAGGTTTATGTGTCTATTAATATATGCGACATAATTTAATTATGAATATGTTTCCTTACAGCATAGAAGAAAATGTCTGAGAATATGTTTAAAATTTTAAATATCTATTAATGATAAAAAAGATGTAGAATAAAAAACTTTACATAATGAAAACAAACGAAGTTTATGTGAATTAAAATATTTGCTTCAGAGACGCAAATGATAGAGCTTTTCCTTTTTGGTATAGGTATCAGTCTAAACGGTCAAATCCAATCCATATACTAGCATGAGTCATTCTTTAGTTTTTTGAATCTATAACAGTTAAATAAAATCATCTGTCTTCTAATCAGTATAATAATGACATATGAGTTCTGATTCATTACTATTGCGCTTTTTACTATATAAATTTTCTTTCTCTTGACTTCTATTGATGAATAGAAATTTTCATAGCGCTACAGATTCTATATAAAAGCTATTCTATGTGAGCTGCGGCCTATCACCATAGAGGAATATTCAGTCATCATCTTATATTTATGTAAAACTTATTGTAACTTATAGAGCATGTTGTTTTAAGTACAAATCTAAATTTTCAGCTTTATTGAAGATCTCTCTACTGAGATATTAGAATTTTTCAATGGAATCGTCTAAAATTTGTATAGAACTACGATAGATAATCACATTTTTGATAGATTTTCTCCAAAAGAAAATTGATAGAACATCGCTCAAGCATCTTTTTTTCAGACATTATTGACTAAGAACTGATTGTTCACAGTAAAAGCAAACGTTTAATATCTCTAGTCTAGCAGAATTTGTCATAGATCACGTGGGCTGACTCATAAACTTGGTGCACTGATTAAATTGTCATGGCATTTGGACATCATTAACACATTGTATAGTTAATATGCTTCGCACCTTATCTTCGCTTTGTTATCTTCTATATCTATGCAAAACTTATGCTATAAATAGTAAGTAACGCAGATAAGACGATGACAATTTAATGTTCTAAATAATTATTTGATTTAGTTACGATAATATAACTTGATGACAATGTGAGTTAATAAAATATATTAAGTGTACTTTGTTGAATTTTCACTGAATAGAATAGTGTGCTGTATGTTTTTACAAAAACTATAAAAAAATCTAGGCCGATCGATAAAGAAAAAATTATCACTATCGATCGATTATTTGAAGCATTTCGATCTTCATAAATATTAATAATGTTCTTCACTGTTGGTTATGTGATACTGTAATGAGAAAGAACAAAATACTGAGTGCAAAAGAGACACAGAAGCATCTCGCAAAAACACGTACGAGTATTATAAGATAAGTATGTCGGAACCATGCACAGCCGGCACAGA